CGTCTTTTAGTTGTTATTCTTTCTGTGTCAACAAAGTTTCTGAAATACTCGTGTTTAACTTGGAATATTACAACCATATGAAGGTTTAAAAAGCTTCATAAAATTTACTATTTAAATATACTATGAAAAAAAATCTTGCTTTTGGGCTCATGTAAAAGTATAATATAAGAAAGCAGAAGTATAAAAAAACGATTAAAGAGATGAACATTAAAGAGATGCACAACCTGTGCCCTTAACTGCTTTGTTTGGGGTTCTTCCTGATACGGTTGTCTTGCCGACGCCCCAGGAGGATCTGGTAGCATTTCTCACCTTATTGGCAAGACGCAGAATATTGTTATGTTGGAAGTCCTCTTCTCCCCCATCCTGGGAAATCTGGATCAGAGATGCTTTGCATTTAGCAAACTTGAAAAGATTAAATTCACCCTGCGTGGGTCTATGGCCAAATTTTTAAAGATCTGGCAACCCTTTTTTGACCATGTTCAGACTTTGCGGTCCCGCAACGCTCCCAATTAGCCAGCTCAGACTTTATTCTATTTTATTTTATCTTATGTTTAAGTATATGGACTCTATTGTGCCTGCGCTTTATGATGGCATTTACTTACCTACTTTATACATATTTCCTTTCTCTTACAGATTTGACTTATCTCTCCAACTAAGCTGACCACTCATTATGTTTGTGTTTGTGTTTTTTTTTCTTGGTTTGTTTGTTTTGTTTTTTCTGTGTCTGTGTGGGGGTGTGGGCTCTGAAACTCTCCACATCTCTCTTGTACACTCAGGAACTCTTATCTTGTACTCCAGGTTTTACTATTCGTATTATTAGATTGGACCCTTTCTTTTTTCTTTTTGTACACCCACTGGTGCTCCTATAATTATGAGGTGGGAGTGTATGTTTCATATTGTTTTATGTTCTTCAAAAAGAAAACGGCACATTGTTCAATTTGTCTTTTGTAAAAATGGATGCAGAAAATTTAATAAAAATATCTGAGGAAAAAAAAAAAGAGATGAACATTTTAACCGCTGATCATTCACATGCAGGTTTTATGTCCCTGTGAACATTAAATTTAAAGTTGTTTTGGATCATGCTCAGAAATAAAAGAAAATGTCTCCAGGAACACAACACTTGAGTCTCATTTGGAAGTAAAATGATATATAAAATTAAAGGTTTATTTATTCAAATGCATAATCTTTAAAGAAAATGGGATTGGTATTAAATGAATGATACCAATTATACATTTCAGTTGAGCAGAATCCATTAAATCTAATAATTTCTGTCCCTGATGAAGCCGAGACGTGTTGGTCAGCGAATAAAGTTGTTCCCTAGCGTCTTCATGCCGCCTATGTTAAAGTCAGCATTTTGGGCAGAAGCCTTTTTGAGTAAATGAAAGAATACAAGCTTCATGGTTTCTTGCTTAATGTTTACATTTTGGTTTTGATGTAACATCAAAATTTCCTGATGTCTACTGTGTTTCCTCGCTGTCATCTGTGGCCTTCTCCTTCACTTTTGCTCCCAGTTTTATTTTGGTAACGACTTTCTTTCCGAGTCCGTTCCTTCCTTTGTTTTCTTTCCTCTGTGTGTGTGTCCATATTCTTGTCTCTCCCCTTGTCTCCTCTTATTTCCTGGTGCTCCTTTTCAAAGAGCTTATTAGACTTGGTGTATTTCGATCATCCTTTAAAGACTTTTTGATGAGTCCTCTTTACCTGCATGGAATTAAAACAGCCACTCTCACCTTTAAGAGCACGGGCAATGCAAGTTGTCAT